TGTATAGAGCCTTGAAAAAATTATTTAAAAAATCCACGCCTTGTATAGAGCCTTGAAAAATATTTTTAAAAAATCCACGCCTTGTATGGAGCCTTGAAAAAATTATTTAAAAAATCCACGCCTTGTATAGAGCCTTGAAAAAATTATTTAAAAAATCCACGCCTTGTATAGAGCCCTGAAAAAATTATTTAAAAATCCATGCCTTGTATAGAGCCTTGAAAAAATTATTTAAAAAAATCCACGCCTTGTATAGAGCCTTGAAAAAATTATTTAAAAAATCCACGCCTTGTATAGAGCCTTGAAAAAATTATTTAAAAAATCCACGCCTTGTATAGAGCCTTGAAAAAATTATTTAAAAAATCCACGCCTTGTATAGAGCCTTGAAAAAAATTATTTAAAAAATCCACGCTTTGTGGAAGACACTTGAGTCCTCCTATGCGTATTATTATTATCATAACTTATCCGTATGTTGGTCACCCATGCGTATACGTGTTGTCATCATGTATACGCCTTAGTTTTAAAATTAATAAATTCTTTATATCTAATTGTTCGCTCGTATTTATTGTAGAATTTGTTTTTTTTCAGATTTTCATCCCAAATATTTTGAATTTATTTTCCCCATTTTTTCTTCACCAATAACTCGAACAAAAATACTGCAGAACTGCAAGCCATTCCAATGACGACAATCATCCAAACCCAAAATAAATCTTCCGCCGTTAACACCTTCCGATACTGTGTGGGATTTAGATCGCGCATTGATACCTCATTTAATTTTAACATATCCCAAAACAAACTATCATGCCATGCTGTTATCAATCCCGCCGAATGGACCCGATGTATGAGCGAATTGAGAGCCTGCTTGTATGGTGAGTTTAGCTGCAGACGAAAACCCCAAGGTAGCATATTGAAATATGTCATCGCCTTGGGTGTGTGGAACAGCTGATGGGAACTATATTTTTGCTGGCGCCATACCAGCTGATAACTGGCCGTGGTGGCATAATAACAATAGGTCGTATTCAGCCGACGACGTTGTTCGTGCAGATAAGTTATATTGTCGGTATATTGCAGTGACGCCTGATAGGGATATAACCAATCATCGGATTCGTGAGCATCGGCCGTGTTGATTAGGATTTTCTTTTTCGAATGCAGCAGATCTTCATAGGTATTGATCTGACGATGATGGGGAGGTTGGGTGAAATAGGTATTGACATTTGCCGAAAATTGTGTAGCCATATAGAGGCCATAAAATCCGTTAAGAAGATATAAAATTTTTAAACACCTTTGTGAAGGCGAAACCATGTCAAAGGCCTGACCCAAAACTCCTGGCCACGCCTTGGTGTTGAGCAGAAAATCCCAGGGATTTTTCAAATTTCCCCACAGGTATTCAATGAGTCCGTGCAGGGCGGAAAATATTAAAGCCATTATTACATAGCAGGCAAAGAAATCATCATTCAAAAGAGCTCCAAATATTTCCAGCATGCTGAGAGGTTCTCCCAATGGGACCATCAACATTATTTCATTGATATCAAAGGTATCGGATACATTACGCCATTCCTCTTCGAAGATTGCCGGTATCATGGCCATGGGTAAATCAAGTTTATTCTGACCTACCAGCTGATTAATGATGGTATAATGGGTTTGATTGCCTGCTTTTAGGGGGTAATACATTTCCAGTGAGGCATTATACTTCGCGGCAAATAACATTACCAACCGAGCAACATAGCCGTTCATACGGAAATTTCCTTCAGAGTCGATGTAGACAAAGGATCGGGAGGAGGTCTGTTCCACAATCGTCCACAGGGTTTTATTGTGAAGATTCAACCATTGAGGAGGGAAATAATTTTGTCCTTGCCAATTTTCCCAATGATATTCGGGATAGGGTCGTAGTTTTTTCATGGCAGGTTTCTCAGAACCTGCTGCCAGCCTCATAAGCATGACATTTGTCATCCTATATTCCTCAAATATTTTATTAAAAAAATCAGCTTGAAAGTAATCCCAATACTGTCCAGTGAGAATCAAAATTCTGCTTTGGCGCATATACTGCAATAATCCAGATGTAATGCTCAGTAATTCCATCCAAACTTTTTCTTCTTTAGGTCCATATAAAATTACCAAAATTTCCGAATTAAAATAATCCTTATAAAGAAACTGCATATCCTTGGAGAGTATCAATTTTGGTAAATCCATTTGATAAACTTCCTCAAATTGGAAATATGCTGAACCACCTTCCGAATGTAGTATCACCAGAGAATCGTATGATTGCTCCTCATAAATATTCCGTAAAACATTTTGAAGTCCACAAAATTTATTTTCATTTCTTTGAAGGATATTCTCCAAAGGATATGCAAATCCTTGATCCATAAGCACACAGGATATGAGAGCAATGAAGGTTATAACTTTACAAAATCCCATTGTTAACTGAAAAGAAAAAATCAGATTTTCTTTCTTCCTTTATTGACAAAATTGCTGCAAGAAAGGACCTTGGTTATTATCCTTTAAACGATTACAACAAAGCAACAATTTTGCTGGCAAAAGATTGCGATAAATGCAGTGGATAATTGCACATAAGAAATCGTGATTATTATCCAGCCTTAAGGTTGAAAGAGAACGATTTAAATTCTAAAGCGGGGGGCGTATACGTTGTGACAAGCAGCATACGCAACAGTGGCCAAATAGCTAATTTTTGTGAGAAAAAGGACTTATTTCGAAAGTATGGTATCTCAGCTTTACCCAGATGCCAAATATATGAACGTAGCTAACAAATCACTAAAGTTATGGTGAAATGAAGACATGTACAAAAAAGGGGAAAATTTTTGCCAATTTTGCGTAACCCTATTCTGGAGGCCATAACATTCGGATTTAATGGATCAATCTCCATGAAATAAATTTATTTTTGAATCTTGGAACCTTCCCAAGCAAATATGGCCAGAAATGGCATACATTTCAATAGAAATATTAAAAGCGAATAATACGAATGTTCATAGCTTCTTAAATTGCCGTTCTGTCGAAGACCATATGTAAAAAAGGTTGTTCAATTTAATAAAATATTTTATTGGGGGTCCATTGTATTATTTTTTTAGAGAGAGTTATGAATCCTCTTTACATTGACGTATGATACGCTCACTTAATAAAATATTTTATAGAGGGGTACAACTGAGTATATGGATTTTTTATAGAGCCGGATATATTCTCTTTACACTGAGGTATGTTACACTCACCTATCTTTCATAATACCAGAGTTATGGTGAATTGAAGACAGTTACCGAAAAATTCCAATTTTTTGCCAATTTTGCGTAATCATCTTCTAGGGTCCATAACTTCGGTTATAATCCATGGATCTCTATGAAATATGTTTCTTGTGATAGCTTGGATCTTTCTCAAACAAATATGACCAGAAATGTCCCGCATTCCAATACAAATATTTTTTTTTTATAATGACAATGTTCTTAAGTTATTGAATGACTACTTTGCCGAAGACCATATGTAAATAAGTTTGTTTAATTTAATAAAATATTTTATAGGGGGTCCAACTAAGTGTATTAATTTTTTAGAGAGAGTTATGAATCCTCTTTACATTGACGTATGATACGCTCACTTATCTTTCCTAATGTCAAAGTTATGGTAAATGAAAGAGAGTTACCGAAAAATGGCAAATTTTTGCTAATTTTGCGTAATCATCTTCTAGGGTCCATAACTTCGGTTATAATCGATGGATCTCTATGAAATATGTTTCTTGTGAGAGCTTGGATCTTTCTCAAACAAATATGACCAGAAATGTCCAGCATTCCAATACAAATATTTTTTAGAAAAAAAAAATTAAAATATTCTTAGGTCATTGAATGGCTGCTTAACCGAAGACCATAAGTATATAAATTAGTTCAATTTAATCAAATATTTTGTACCGGCTCGTACTAATTAAATTTCATACTTTTATAGAGGGATATATCACCTTTATATTGAGGTAACTTACGCTCATGTAGCTTATCAAATGTCAGAGTTAGGGTAAATTGAAAATAGTTAACAAAAATTGCCAAAATATTGATAATTTTGCGTAACTATTTTCCGGAGCCCATAACTTCGGATATAATCAGTGGATCTCTATGAAATAAATTTCTTATGAGAGCTTGGATCGTTTCCAAGCAATAATGGTCAGAATTAGTACTGATTTCAACACAACTATATTTTGAATAATAAGATATACATAGTTTATTGAAGGGCCGTTGCGTCGAAGACCATACGTATATATAGATATCATCAATTTATTTATATATTTTGTACGGACTCCAACTAAGCATATCGGTTATTTATATAGATGGATATGTCCTCTTTACATTAAGGTAAGTTACTCTCAAATAGCTTTGGAAATGCCAGAGTTATGGCGATTTGAAGACGGTTACCAAAAAATGGCAAAATGTTGCTAATTCTGCGTAATCATCTTCTAGGGCTCATAACTTCAGTTGTAATCGGTGGATCTCTATGAAATAAATTGGTTTTGAAAGATTGGATGATTTTCTATAAAATTAAGTAATGCTTAAACTCTTCTTAATTTAATTATTGTTAGAATTTTTAATAATTTTAATACAAATATTAAAAAATAAAATTACAAAATCCATTATCACAAATGTATGAAAATTTTCTTCGTTTTATGTGATTATTTCCATGGTCATAACTTTTAAAAGCATCGGTAATATCATTATATTATTCGATGGATTTTGATAGTAGAATAACTTAGCTTTATCCTGATGCATGATTCCAAGATATAGCTCCCCGAATATCAAAGTTATGGCTAAATGAAGGTGAATGCGGAGAAATGCAAAATTTGAGGTATTTTTGCGTAATCATCTTCCAGGGGTCATAACTTCGGTTCTATTCAAGGGATCTTTGTGAAATGAATATATTTGGCAAGTTCTCCAAACAAAAATTTTCAAAATTGCCAAAAAAGTCAATAACATTTTTAAAAAAACTATAATAAACACTTAACCGACATCTGTGATTTTTTTCTTTGTTATTGGTAAACATTTCCCAGGAGCCATAACTTCTCAAACTGTGGGTAATGTCAGCATATAATTAGAGTGATTTTGAAAGCTAAAAATCTTAGCTTTACTCTGATGGTAAATTGAAACATATAGCTTCGTAAATACCCGATTTATGGCCAAATAAAAAAGAGTACCGAAAATGTTCACATTTTAGGTAATTTTGGGTAATGATATTCTGGAGGCCTTAATTTTGAAAGTATTAAGTGGATATTAACAAGTTAAAATTATTTTAGAAGCTAAGACCGTACACTTGATATGATAAATAATATTGGAATACAAAAATCTGGAAAATTCCAAACTAATTGATCGAATGCTACAGGATCAAAAAAATTAATTAAAGAGTTCATTCATATGATGGTGTCTCGAAAGTCTGATTGGTTGTCGCCACGAAATTGAGAGTTTCTGAAACGGAAATACCTTCTCTACTTTGACTTATACACATTTTATTTAAATACCATATAGGCGTATACGTGCTGACATACGCAGCCATGTACAATAAATTACCCATTTGAAGTATTTGCAGATTTCTGCTACATTTTCCAATCGATTTGTCTGGAATTTTGTAAATAAGATTCAGACTTGGAAAGAAAACTCCTGACAGACAAATATTCAATATATGTACCGTACAAGTTCAACTTCTGTGGATCTTTTAAATGCCTCTCATTTAAGACAATTAAATCAGTTTACCTACAAACAATTTAATTTAATTTGTATCATTATTAAAACATGATATTTTTTGAACAATCCTGTCTTTGTTTGTTCTGCCTGTTTTAATTACATATTTAATACATGGCCAATTTGTGTCAGAACCAGAGATGAGGATTTCTTTCACAGATTTCCTCATTTAATGGCATTTAACAGAGCTGCCAGCATCCGTTTCCGGTTGTAGTTGTTCGGTACTGGTGCTTCTGCTGTTGGTGAATTGTGTGTCTTTGCGTTATGTGCAACTCATTGAAGCAGAAGTCAGTTCGCTTATTTTCGCTGAGCATATCGTTGTCATTTCTATCCTTTGTGGGTAATGGATATTAGGGTGTGAGGAAAAAAAATTAACAGAAGAAAAATTCAAAAGTATTAAAAAAATCCGCACATATAGAAAGCGTAGACTTTTTTTAATAATTTTTTAATTTTTTTCAAGCCCTATATAAGGCGTAGATTTTTTAAATGTTTTACAAGGCCTATATAAGACCTAGAAATAATTTTTTTCAAGGCCCATATGAGGTGTAGATTTTTTAAATAATTTTTTTCAAGATCCATATGAGGCGTAGATATTTTAAATAAATTTTTTCAAGGCCCATATGAGGCGTAGATTTTTTAAATAAATTTTTTTCAAGGCCCATATGAGGCGTAGATTTTTTAAATAAATTTTTCAAGGTCCATATGAGATGTAGATTTTTTAAATAAATTTTTTCAAGGTCCATATGAGGCGTAGATTTTTTAAATAATTTTTTTCAAGGCCTATATGAGGCGTAGATTTTTTAAATAATTTTTTTCAAGGCCCATATGAGGCGTAGATTTTTTAAATAAATTTTTTCAAGGCCCATATGAGGCGTAGATTTTTTAAATAAAATTTTTCAAGGCCCATATGAGGCGTAGATTTTTTAAATAAAAATTTTCAAGGCCCATATGAGGCGTAGATTTTTTAAATAAAATTTTTCAAGGCCCATATGAGGCGTAGATTTTTTAAATAAAAATTTTCAAGGCCCATATGAGGCGTAGATTTTTTAAGTAAATTTTTTCAAGGCCTATATAAGTCATAGATTTTTTAAATAATTTTTTCAAGTCCTATATAAGTCATAGATTTTTTCAAGGCCCATATGAGGCGTAGATTTTTTAAATAAATTTTTTTCAAGGCCCATATGAGGCGTAGATTTTTTAAATAAATTTTTTCAAGGCCCATATGAGGCGTAGATTTTTTAAATTTATTTTTTTCAAGGCCCATATGAGGCGTAGATTTTTTAAATAAATTTTTTTCAAGGCCCATATGAGGCGTAGATTTTTTAAATAATTTTTTTCAAGGCCCATATGAGGCGTAGATTTTTTAAATAAATTTTTTCAAGGCCCATATGAGGCGTAGATTTTTTAAATAAAATTTTTCAAGGCCCATATGAGGCGTAGATTTTTTAAATAAATTTTTTCAAGGCCCATATGAGGCGTAGATTTTTTAAATACATTTTTTTCAAGGCCCATATGAGGCGTAGATTTTTTAAATAAATTTTTTCAAGGCCCATATGAGGCGTAGATTTTTTAAATAAATTTTTTCAAGGCCCATATGAGGCGTAGATTTTTTAAATAAATTTTTTCAAGGCCCATATGAGGCGTAGATTTTTTAAATAAATTTTTTCAAGGCCCATATGAGGCGTAGATTTTTTACAGAAT